GAGGGGAGGGGGAGGGTTACAGAAAAAACTTAGTGAGGGTATTTTTAATCCTTTTCTAGGAGTACGACAAGGGAAGGGGAAGGGGAAAGGGGGGAGAGGGGGTTATGGGTGTGGAACACAAGGGGTTTTGGAAGTGCATGTCGCACATCTCAGACATGTGTGTGTGTGTGTGGTGTACGACCTGTGACGCAGTGTTTTTTTTTCGTTTTGGGCCTAGTACCCTAGAGTAATAAACTGGGTGTTTCTTGCGGTTACGATTCCTATTTGTATAGTCGCTGGGGGTGCCGCAGCCCCCCCCAGACCCCCCCCTCAAAGGCATTACGGTGTGCTGTAAACAATTCTTCTTCTAAATGTTTGGGGCATTGCGTCTGCGGAGTTTCTGAGCCGTTTGCTTTGGTCAAGAATGAACGAATGCCCCGTTGACCTAAGTTCAATGCAACAGCGGGCCGTCTCATGGTGATATCATGAAATATCTTATATATAATTAGTGTATAAGCTCCGAATGGTCAGCTTTATATGTGCAGGAGGCATTTGGGGCGACTTATGGCCGAAGAAATGAACCAGTACGGCCAACTGACCCAGCGATTCCATTTCTTCCAGGCTCAGACCCCCATTTATTCCCAAAAAAGTAATATATTACCAAGAAAACACTGCTGTGACGAGTGTTCATCCTTATGACGGATGTCTTCAGACAGAGTGTGGCGTGCAGCAATCTCTCCAACACCCCCAACCCACCAAAACCTAAGGTCTTTTACCTGTACGATGTTGGGGTGGGAAAGGGTGGATAGTACGGCAAGCTCCACGGCGTTTCGGAGCACCTCCGTACTCTCACAGTCACGTTCCAAAATCACCTTTGATAGGAGGAGAGGGGTCCCGCGGGTTTGTTGGGGGGGTGGGGCGGAGGAGGGAGAGCAGTTGGCAATGGAGGGAAGCGCACGGAGCGGGCAACGTATCGAAGAATGGGGAGGGAGAGTATGCGTGCTGGATATGTGTGTTTTTCTCAAGGTGATGAACTTTCGTGGCTCATACCCCCCCCACCCCCCCCTCTTTCTCCCAAAACACCCCCTCAAATGCAAAGGCGACTGTCTCCAAACACACCCTACACACGCTCATTTGCACAGTAGTCCCGCCACGAACACAATTCCCCCCTTCCCCCTCCCCCCTTA